TGAAATAGTGGCTCCTTATCACCATGTCAATCTTCAAAAGTTGAGATTCCATTTTACTCAGCAAAATTCGGTCCAGGCTGAAGGTTCCAGGTGCTTAATGTCTTCAATTTTAGCCCACACACTCCCTTTTGTGCAGTTTTTAAGATCAGCATATTCAGTCTTGCAGCATCAGTTAAAAGGTTCCATCTTGTAAATCACTGGTTGTCCTACTAGCTGTGTCTGTCAGATTCCTTTAATACCCCAAAGTCATTAACCTGAAGAAGTAGCTTAGTAAATCTTTCAACTCTAACTCAATTTCTTCTAAATATCACATCAAATGGGATGACAAAGGGCTCATGCATAAAGGGAAAAAATCACCTTCTTTCCTTCATACTTGATTCTTGTTTTACAAAGTCATAGTAAGTTCCACTCTGCCTGCAAACGAATTCGTTCTTATGTGCAAACTAGAGGCCTGGTGCACAAAATTCGTGCGCTGGGGTTGGGGGGTGTCCCTCAGCCCAGCCTGCACCCTTTCCAATCTGGGACCCCTCGGGGATGTCTGGATACCCGTTTAGACCGATTCCTGTGGACATCCCTCTCACAATCCGGGACTGCTGGCTCCCAACCGCTCGCCTGCCTGCCTGATCAACGCCTAACTGCTCCCCTGCTGGTCTGATTGCCCCTAACTGACCTTTCCTGCAGGCCTGGTCCCCCGCAACTGCTCTCCCTCCCCTACTGGCCTGATCGCCCACAACTGCCCTCCCCTGTCAGCCATCTTGTGGTGGCCATCTTGTGGTGGCCATCTTGTGACCATATGGGGCGGCCATCTTTGACCACATGGGGGTGGCCATCTTGTGTGAGGGTGTGATGGTCAATTTGCATATCACCTCTTTATTATATAGGATGAGGTATTCAGGAGTAAATGGCACTGCCTGTGAGCCTGTAACTATTTCAAAATAAAAGGTACAAAATAGGACATTTTTGCCAAAGAGGAGAGAGTATCGATGCCACTCCTAGTGATTTGACTTTTTCAGTACAAGAATCACTAATCCAAAGTGGAAAAAATTATAAATACCCACCTAAAACAGCCACTCAATTAGTTTTTCTCTCTCTAACCCTTATCCTCATTAAAGATGCAATGAGACAAGATAACATTTTTTCTGAACACATCCAGGTTTTTTTCAGTACAGAAAAAGCTGGGTCAACTATCGGTTTCTATTTTCTGGCACTAAAATACACCTATAATAGAGAATCACCAATATTTACCATAACATTCAGAAGCTGCAAGATCTGGAAATGCTTTCCGAATGTTGAAAGTAATGTTAAAAGTTATAGAGAACAGGATCTCAATGTTGAAGCTATGTCTTTCTCAAACTTTCTGTTATGAGAATTTTCATATATGCTGCAATATTGAAATACCATCATGGACACTAACATACTGTCCTAAATTCAATAATGGTTTTTGTTACATTTTCTGTCTTTCTTTATCTCTACCTCCCTCCCATATTGTCTCTGTCTCTCTGTCTGTCTGTCTGTCTGTCTCTCTTTTGGTTGGTATGTTTTTCAATATAGTCAAATTCTCTGAATTATAGTTTTCCTAATATATGGTATTATATCCATTTATAAAATATATGGTAATAAAAATATCTGTATTATAATTACATGTTAATTTCCCACAGGGATATTTTATTAGCTAAAATACCCAATGGTCTGAACATGATAAGTCATGTTCATTATCAGTATTAACTATGTCCTGTACCTGACCAACAATGGGATATGAATTTCTCCATAAAAGCTGGTGCTTTAGTCTATCTTCCTAGGGATAAATTAGAGTATTTGTCTACCGCACAAATATATAAGTGCCTAATGTATTCTCAATGATGATCAGGGTGTTTTATTGCCAATGTAAACTGAATTCTTTATAAAATATTAAGCTATGAGAAAGGTTCCTAATACTACCACAAAATAAAATGTGGGTAAACTGTCCTGAAAAAGTACTTAAATAAATCCTGGGAAAGAGGATTATTGTTGTTATCAAATAATTAACTGTAAAAGAGATAGGAAACTTTCATTGCACTTCTTAGATAGTATTATGGGAGGAACTGTGCCCAAAATGATTTGTTGAAGTCCTAACCCCCTAGTACTTCAGAATGTGACCTTATTTTGAAATTGGGTTGTTGTAGATATAAGTAGTCAATTTAAGATGAGGTCATACTAGAGAAGGGTGGGCCCTTAATCCAGTAGGACTGGTGTCCTTATAAAGAAGAAGGATATTTGGATACAGACTTGCACAGGGGAAAGATGATGTGCAGACGTGCAGGGAGAAGATGGCCATGTGACAAGGAGGCAGCAAGTAGAGTGATGCATCTACAACAAGGAACAGCAATAGCTGGCTGCCACTAGGAGCAAGGAGAGAGGCATGGGACAGATTCTCCCTCAGAGCTCTAGCAGAAACCAGCCATGCTGACACTTTGATTTTAGACTTCTAGCCTTTGGAGCTGTAAGAGAATAAATTTCTGTTGTTTTAAGTCAGTTGTGGTAACTTAGTACGGCAGCCTTAAGAAACCCTCACAGATCGGTGATAGATAGATAGATAGATAGATAGACAGACAATCTTTCAGGTTTCTTAAGTTTAGTTCTAGTCATAAAATGACAACCTAACAAACTATCCAGTGAAATAGTTTAGTGGTCCCAAAGTTGTTGAATTAAATAATATGTATCTACTAGATTGAGCCACATAAAATTGCCATTTTGTAGGAAAAAAATAATTTAATAGAGGTAATTTTATGTGGCTCCTATAATAGATTGCATAAATAATTCAAGTTTTTTGAAACCCCCCTTTTCTCCTCAAGAGCAGATCCTTGACTGGATTTGCTAGGAGATTACTGTTTTCCCTGCATCACTTTCCCTCTATAGATTCTTCAGCTTCATTCACTTCACTCAGATACGGAAGTTACCATCTCCATGACCTATGCGGAATAAAACACTGGGGGCAATTGCCCCTTGAGGTTTTTTTTTCCTCTCCCCCGCCCCCTCCCGTGCTCCTCTCCTCCTCCTTGAAGTTTTGCCTGCTAGTTCTCTCTCCTCTCCATGCATGGTTTATTCTAGAAAACAATGCCGGGGGTTCTATCTAATGCATGTTCAAAGCTGGGTTTCCCCAGGGGATTTTCTCTCCTTCCATTTGGCATAGCAGTGACTGTGTTTGACGTCTGCCTTGCAGCATCGCTCTGCAGCTCCATCTGACTCTTGGTTCCCGTCCACGTTCTCTTCCTGCCTGCCTTCTGAGGAAGATGTTTCCACAACAGAGGTGGAGAAGAGAATACAGTGAGGGCAAACAAGAGCTTTACTTTCCAATGAGAATGAGTCAGGAGCCTACCAAATGTCTCATCCAAAGTTTTTGACTTAAACCAGCACTCACTTGAGCATTCACAAGTCATTTCTGAATGTTTATTTTTCTATATTTTCATATATCTAGTCCCTTTAAAGGTTTCCTCAAATATGAGACGAAAAATAACCACTCACAAATTTTAATGACAATGCTTTTAACCTGCAGGAAAGGATACAACCAAGTCCAAAAACGTCTCATGTGTGATTCTGGATAAAGCATGCCAACTTAGTGAGATAAGAAGTAGATATTTAACAGAAAATTCTATTTCATAAAAAATTTAATATTCCTTAGTTCAAATAAATTTTATGATTATAAGAAACTGATTTAAGAGAAAATTCCAAACCTTGCTAATCAAAAGATTCCTCCACATTCTGGAATAACTTAAATCATTGCCTACACCAAACAGGAAATCCAGAATATAGAGTTGATTAGTAGCAATTGCCATTAAATTACCAGCTTCAGCCCTGACCAGTTTGGCTCAGTGGATAGAGCGTATGCCTGCGGACTAAAGGGTCCCGGGTTTGATTCCGATCGGAGGCACATGCCTGGGTTGCGAGCTTGGTCCAACATGCAGGAGGCAGCCAACCAATGATTCCCTCGCATCACTGATGTTTCTATCTATCTCTTCCTCTCCCTTCCTCTCTGAAATCTATAAAAATATTTTTAAAAATATTACCAACTTCAATTAAGCTGTCATTGTTAGTTTGCTATGGCTTTAAATTCTCAGAGATTGTTTCCCAATATCATGCTACTTCTACTCGACTGAAAACCCTGTGCTATTATTCTCATCTTCATTATATGAGATTCTAAAATTTCCCTGTGCCAGACGATGCATAAACAGCTGGTGATACTAAGCTGTCTTTAGGAAAAAAAAAGTCCATTGCCCTAAAGCTGGCATTATTTGACTTCAAATTTATGATACATCTCAGTATACTTTATAACTGGGTTTCCAAAGTATATATATTTAACATATTTGTTGACATAAAATTTGAGAAAAGAAGAATGTGCTATAAAAGGAAATGTTGTCTTTTTGTGGTTTTATAAGGAGAAACAACCTAAGGACAGAAAATGTTTGTGGGGCATTAGAATGACAAATGCCCTCTGGGGCACGCGGTGTAGTAGTTACATCCTACTGGCATTTGTATTTTGAACTTTCACCTGCATTTCTCACTCACTGGAGATGAGCCTAAGTAACTTTTGCCTCCTCAGCTCTCCTACAGGTATAGAGCAAAAAGAAGAAACCCCCAAACAAACGTTCTTAGATGAGCCAGTTCAGTCCCAGAGACATTAGCCTTTGTCCAGGTGTAACTCACTGAAGCAAACCCAACATTTGAAATCTTGGCCTGTATGTATATCTAAAATCATGACTGATACACAGAGCAAGGTTCCCCTGCCAGCTCCACATGCTTTTCCTTTCCACCCTCCTCCCCCCCACATCCAATCTGAGATCCAGCTGCTTTCAGAGCCACAAGCAGCATCAGACAACAACATTCATCTGGTTGCACCCTCATAATTGAAATTCAAATGAGTTAACTGCAACAAAGTGGCTCTTTGCCCTTGGAATCAGGGCGTTTGGCTTCTTCAGGTAACAGATCCCTTAGTGATGCTAGTATATATAACGAAATAAACTTACTGTTTTCTTTAACACTTTGAGAGCATAAGGCTTCTGAGTCCCCTTCTGTTTGCATCTGTACACAATGGATGTAGCACCCCTTGAGGGGGAAAGAGACAAAAAGAAAATGTTATGCTCTGAACATGCAATAAAGGGGAAACCTTGAAAATACAAATCTCTTGCAGTTACCTGAAGTATGGTACCTATTTGCTTTTTTAACAATGGACAGGTTATTTTGATTTTCTGAATTGTATAAATCATCCCTTTTGATTGAACGCCTTATTGATTGAATGACTATCCCATTAATTATGATCTTACTGGTTATCGAAACACATTCTTCTGTACCTGGGAAACAGGACAGCACAATTACCCTAAATTGTTTTAGTGGCCACAGGTGGTGCGTTCCAGCTGCCTCAGTGGTCCCGAGACCAGGACAGCACAATTACTCTAAATTGTCCTGACAACTCAGTGGTCGGGAGACCTGGGGGCTCTAGATAATGTGTTTCTATCAACTTAGTGATCCGGAGACCCAAAACTGTAATTTAGATAACATGCCTAAGTTTAACCCAGGTTACCCAAGGGCTCTAGATAATGTATTTCTGTCAATTCAGTGACCCCAAGACTCGAAACTGTAATTAACATACTTAATTCTGCTTCTGTAATCTGCTTTTTTGCGAGCCAGGTGCCTCATTCCAAACCCTGAGATGTAATCAATACCTTTGTGATTTTTGCCTATATAAGTCTGGTTTTGCCACCATCTTATTACTATGAGATTTGGGGATGACCCCTCATAGTCCCAGATTGCAATAAATGTGACTCTTTAATTCGACTTCTTGAGGCGTCCTTCTGTGATTCGTGGGGTACATTACAACATACCCTCATAGTTGACAACTGTTTATAATTTCTACTATAGAACCCGCCCAACTGTTGAGAGTATTTTTTTCTCTTGCAACTGAATATAGTTGGCTCCAAAAAAGTCCGAGGTTTTCCGGTCTGCTCTTTTCCTTTGCCCCACCCCTACACAAGTAGCAACATGTTTACAGCTGTTGCAGCCAGTGGCTCTGGAATAAACTAGGCCTTCAGGTGAGAATGGCTTGTTGGGTGCATATCCACTCAACTTGAGAACCCCTGAGCTTTCCTAAAAGTATGAGTCTGGAGTAAAGGGAGGCATGGTGGCTTCAGTGAGAGGATTTAAGTTCAGCCCTTGGCTCTCACAGTCAGGACAGTCTCCACTACTTGGCAAGGGAGCTGGGGATCTCTAAGAATTTACACCACTTGGTGCCCTGGCATTCTCCTAGAGCCAGTGTTAGTCCTACAGAGATCCTGGCTCCTTTGTGTTGGTAAATACTGCTACTACTCATTTCACATGCCCTAACAAAAAGAGTTCTGTGAAATGTTCAAGAGAAAATACTATTTAAAATGGTGAGAGATATATGGGGGGAAAAAGCTTGAAGGAGCCCAGCCGGTGTAGCTCAGTGGTTGAGCGTCAACCTAAGAACCAAGAGGTCACTGTTTGATACCCAGTCAGGGCACATGCCCGGGTTGCTGGCTCAGTCCCCAGTGGGGGGTGTCCAGGAAACAGCTGATCAATTATTCTCTCTCATCACTGATGTTTCTATCTCTCTCTCCCTCTCCCTTCCTCTCTGAAATCAATAAAAAATACATTTTTTAAAAAAGGTTTAAGGAGTACAGAACGTTTTTTGGTTTTTTTTTTGTTGTTGTTTTTTTACCTATAAAAGAAAATGGTAAAAAGCGGCTCAATACCTAACTTCATGTATGTGCCAGGTTATTGACAGAATACTAAAAAGTAGGACAGTGTGATCCCGATGCTCCCTCTCCACACAGGAGAGCAAGAGAACAAGACAGGTACAAAGAGACTCACTGACAAGCAGGTTTAAATCTCAACTTAGGAAGGAGAACTTCAGATAAATCTTAAAATAAGGTCAGTTGAAGTAAATCTGTCAGACTTTGAAGATTAAGCTGAAGGACCTCTTATGATATATACAGTCCTAAGGTTTTGAAATTTTAAGCAGAACAGAAGTATACAAGTCAAACAGATGCCTACACACTACACATTTTAAATAGAGTCAGGAGGAGTCAGAAATTGGTATTGTAAATGCTAATAGATTTAAAAATTTCAACATTTAAGATATAACATATACATAAAGAAATAAAATTTTCTAGAAATGGAATAAATGAGGGTAAATATATAATTCATTGTATTTTTAATTGCTCTAGAAGACAACTATCTAAAGCCAAAATATTGACAATGCATTGTGTTTACAGCATATGTAATAGTAAAATGCATGACAACAATAGCATAAAGAATGGGGGAAAGATAAAAAAATAAAATAAAATAAAAAATAAAGAATGGGGGAAAGAAATAGGAGAGCAAGAGAACAAGACAGATACAAGTATTATCCTTATACTATATTTTAAGTAGTATAATATTATTTCAGTAGCATGATATTATTTATTTTTAATTAAGAGATTAAAAATAAGCTTATAATGTGGTGGATTTTAATAAACTCATACTAATAATTACATTAAGTTTAAATCTTATGAACACATCAATTAAAAAATTGTACCCCCTGCTTTTTTTTTTCATTTCCATTTGAAAAGAAAAAAAAAGATGGCTAAATTAGATTGAAAAATCAGACCAAACTATAGGCTGTGTATAGGAAACCATGTGGAATCTAATGAACAAAATAAACTGATGAACAAAATAGAACCAGAGTCCTGGATACATGGAACAGACTGACAGCCGTCAGAGGGGAGGAACAGGGGAGAATGGATGAAAGAAGGTGAAGGGATTAGCCAAAGAACATATATGCATTACCCATGGACACAGAAAACAGTGTGGTGATGGCCAGAGGGAAGTGGGGGACAGGAGAGATGGAGACATCTGTAATAGTGTCAACAATAAAAATAAAGTTTAAATAAAGAAATAAATAGAAAGGCACAAACAGGTTAAAAATAAAATGATAGGAAAGAGATACCATGCAAACACTATGAAAATAAATCAGGAATAGCCATACTAATATTAGGTTAACTAGACTTCAGAACAGAGATAGAGGTATTACTTAATTATCCAAGATGACATAACAACTATAATTGTGTATACACCCAACAATAGCACTTCAAACTTCATGAAGGAAACACTGATAGAACCAAAAGGAGAAATAAAATAATCCACTAATATAGTTGGAGACTTCAAAGCACACTGTTAACAATCAATAAAAAGAAAAAAGTAGACAAATTGTCACTAAAGATGCAGAAGACACGAACAGCACTTTCGACTAAATTAACCTAATTGGCAATTTGAGAGAATTCCACATAAAAACAGCAGAATACACATTCTGTTCAAAGTTAGAGGATTCACATACTGGATTCCCAGATTTACCATAAAGCTACAGTAATCAAAGGAGTGGTATTGAAGGAATAATAAACATGGAGACAAATGGAACAGAAAGGAAGAATCCAGAAATCATCTTACACATATATATGACCCATTCGTTTCTGACAAAGGTGGAAAGGTAATTTAGTGAAGAAAGGACAGTCCTTCCAACTATTCATAATGCTGGAACAACTAGACATATACCCATATGCAAAAAAAATCTTTACATTCACCTCATACTATACAAAAAGTACTTAAAACGGATCACAAATCTAAATGTAAAACCTAGAACTCTGAAACTTTTTTTAAAAACAAAGGAGAAAATTGTGCAGCCTTAAATATGTAATGCTGTCTTAAAAAGAACAACAGTACAGTGCATGAAAGAATAAATAGGACTTTATTTAAAATAGGAATACTTTTATTTGAAAGTCACAGGCAGGGAGAAAAATATGTACAAATCACATGCCTAACAAAGGACTTGTATTTAGAATTATAAAAATCCTTGAAGCCCAATAATAAGAAAACAAACAATGCATTTAAAATATGGGCAAAATACTTAAACATACACTTCACCAAAGAAAATATCTGGATGAAAAATAAGCACAAGGAAAGATGCTCAGGATCATTAGTCATGAGGGAGATGCAAATTAAAACCATAATAAGATACAACTATACTATACTTATTTGACACCTTATAAAAAGAGAGACAATATCATGGGCTGGCAAGGATGCAGAAACAATGAAACTCTCATACATGGCTGGTGGAAGTGCAAAATGATAGGGCCACTTTGGAAAATAGCTTGGCAGTGTTTGGAGGTGGGTGGGAAGAGATCAACCAATGACCTTGTATGCATATATGCATAACCTGTGGACACAGACAATGGGGTGGTGAGGGTGGGTGAGGGGGGAATGGGAGCAGGCTGGAAAAGGCTAATGGGGGAAGAATGAGGACCTATGTAAAACTTTCAACAATAAAGATGAAAAAAAAAAGAATATTATATGATCCATCCATCTCACTCCCAGGTATTTACCCAAGTGAGATGAAAGCTATGTTCACTCACAAACTTGAACATGAATCTTTATAGCAGCTTATTAGTAATCACCCATAACTGCAAACAACTCTAATATCCCTCAACTGAGAAATAGATTGACAATCTGTGATACATCTATATAGTGAAAAACTACCCAGAAATAAAAAGAAATGAATGAGGGTACACATAACAGCTTGGGTGATTCTCTAAATTAATACCCTAAGTGAAAGAAGCTATGTTCAAAAGGCTATAGGCTGTATGACTCTTCACATTAACTTATCAGTAATTTCAGTATACAAGCTATCTTAGCAAAGCTTTAAGAAAACTTTTTCAACAAAATATACCCTTGATTCATCGACCTCAGGACACAAGTATGTTAGAATTAACTTTTTATTTTTTGTACATGAGGAATCTATTAAGAAAGTCCTATTTTATTTTGCTGAGTAATGGACTTATTAATGTTACAGAGCTTTTAATTTTTTCCAACTTTATCTATAATAAAAAAAGCGTAATATGCTAATTAGACTGGACAGCTGAACAACCTTCCGGACATCATTCCGGACGTCCTTCGGATGAAGCCACAGTGGTGGGGGCCGAGGCAGGGGTAGTTAGGGGCGATTAGGCAGGCAGGCAAGTGGTTAGTGGTGATCAGGCAGGCAGAGGCAGTTAGGG